GGAGGGAGGGGGCAGCTGCCCTGGGGACTGCAGTGAGGAGCCAGTGGAGGGAGGGGGCAGCTGCCCTGGGGACTGCAGTGAGGAGCCAGTGGAGGGAGGGACAGCTGCCCTGGGGACTGCAGTGAGGAGCCAGTGGAGGGAGGGGGCAGCTGCCCTGGGGACTGCAGTGAGGAGCCAGTGGAGGGAGGGGGCAGCTGCCCTGGGGACTGCAGTGAGGAGCCAGTGGAGGGAGGGGGCAGCTGCCCTGGGGACTGCAGTGAGGAGCCAGTGCAGCCTACTTGATGAGTTCCAGGTTAGTGAGATCCTGTCTCAAAAAACAAGGTCGATGGCTTCTGAAAAACACCACCTGACGTTGACCTCTGACCTCTACACACATAAACAAACATGCACACAGGCACACACACAAGAAGAGTGAGGAAGAGGGAGAGGAGAAGGGAGAGGGAGGAGGAGAAAGAGGGGGGGAAGAGGAGAGGAAGAGGGGAGGGAGAGAGGAGGGAGAAGGGATGAGGAGAGGGGGAGAAGGGGGAGGAAGGAGCCGAGAGAACAAGGATGGATAAACCCAGAGTGGTGCATCCAGCCCAGACTGTGCCACAGGATGGTTTTTAATTCCTCACTAACATTTCATTTCCCCCTATTACACTGTAATTGAATGTAAAGGCCCTGAGCGATCACAGCCATATCCTCTTCAGCAGACAAACCACACACAATATTTTCCCACCATGTAATGAAAACATTGGTATCTTTGCGCAACTGGGCTCTGGACAGGCTGCCTTCCTAATGCCCATCTCTGTCTCTGTGTTTATGTTCGCCAGCATTAATATTTATTAGAGACGTTAGGCTATTAGTGGGCATGGTGTGCTTGTCTGGCTTTGTAGAGCATCCAATTTGAACACACTTGCTCTGGATAAACACTTCCTCGTGCTGGTAATGATAACAACTCAGCGCAGTACTGAGCCTTATGAACTAGAACTTGAGTTGGCATGAACAGCCCCTAAGGCTCGGAATCTGAGGAAGAATGGAATCACCTCCTACAGAGGCCTGGCTTTTCCAGTCTCCTCATCCCTGACATGGACCTACTTAGGCCCCAAACTGAATGCCCTGGGCTTGTAGCTCACTGGAAAACTCAAGAGGAGGTACCCGTGACACTGCCTTACTTATTTTGTATGTGTGCCTGTGTTTTGTGTCTGTGTGTGTATGTCCATGTTTGTATCTGTGTGTACCTTTATGCCTGTACATATGATTCTGTGTGCCCGTGTATCTCATTTTTCCAGGTAAACCCTAAATGGCCAAGTCCCTGTGGGCAGAGGCTGAGTTCTGAACTTGTTTTTATGCCCCCCACTCCAGCTTAGGATGGCCCTCAGCACCAACTAAACATTTAAGAAGTCCTGTATTGCTCACTTTTGCAGGGACACTGAGTGAGTGACGCTGGGTCAGACTCACTTGTGAGCACTTCCCATTGCCTGTTATACAGGATGTGGCACACCTGGATTGCCCTTGATTAATTAGTCATGGCTTGTGGCCAAAACAGCATGAGGTTGTAATTCAGGAGCCTGGAGCCTCCTCCCACTTCCAGGTCACACAGTAGCATCCCAGGGTGAGCGTCTTCCCCTGGTTGGAGCCTCCCTAAGTCTCCCAAAAGGAGACACATTTGATGCCAGCGAATTTCCTTTTAGCCTCAAATGCTTGATTCTATTACTTTATTTTACAAATGTGCGCTCTTCTTATTTGTGACATAAACCCCCACAGGAAAAAAAAAACAAAGTCAGTAATAAATTATGAAAAAAATCAGGTGCCCTGATCACTTGTACTTTCTGAGGGTGCTGGATTCAATCAATCCCACCTCTGTACAGCAACCTGCCTCTCCGGGGCGACAGAAGACTCAAAGCTGTCAGTGGAGCAAACCGCGCAGTCTCTCCCCGTAATTGTATTGACAGGCTATCAGCCAAGTCGCTGTGTTGGGAAGGGTACACCCTGACAGGTTTTGTGAGGGAGCCTGGAAGGCTACTGTGGCAGGGTTCTGTGCTCAGTCTCCGGATTCTAGCGAAAGGAGAATCAAGCCGGGCGAAGGCAGGTTCTTTCTCAATTTAATTTTATGCTTCCCACAGAGTCACATTGAAAGGAAAGCTGGCTGGCTGCACATCACTTGACAATGGAGAAGCCCTTGCTAATGGAAACTATTTACATTATTTTTGTCGTTGCATGAAACACCATTCTGACTCCATTAACTGCCACCAAACAAGCAGTTTGCTTGGGTTTCAGCTAGGTGACCAGGTGGTGAGTGTTTGTAGATAAAAACACCTGCTTGCAAATATGAGGTTTTTCCTGTTTCCTCTGGTTGCTGTGGCATCGTGAAGGCATGTTTCTGAATAACTGATGCATATATGTTCTGGTAAATTCCATGGGTGGGAAATACCAGGGTTGTATTTGTTCAACTGCATTTGAAGTGGGAAAAAAGAAAAAAGAAGAAGAAAGGAAAACAAACAAACAAACAAACAATGCTGAACCTATCCATGAGGGGAAACAATGTGAGTGACAGCCTCCCTGTGTGGTGAAATAAATGTTGCCAGGGTGCTGTATTCCTCTGATACAGATGCACTTCTTCAGGCTCAGGGAGAGACAAAGCTAAAATACAACTCAGTTCCCATAATCCCAAAGACACCGGAGTCAAGCACACTCGTGATGAGGAGGCATTCACCCCGACACTGGGGCCAGCAACACTAGCAATCCCCATAAAGGACCTACAAGTCAAGTCCAGTAGAAATGATAGAACTGTAATTTTTTTTTTAATGTTCTGGAACCCTAACTACTTTTAATATTTCCATTTTCTTTAAAACCCAAAATCCTAATGTTTCAGGATTTAGATATTCTTTATGTAGAGAAAACTGGGCTGGGACTCAGTGGCGTGGCTTTTAAGCCGGCTCTGGCAGAGCCTCAAGTCAAAAGCCTTGCAGACATTTCCCCATGATGGTTTATAGGGAGCTTTTGCAACCAGGAGCGGCCCAGTTTCCTTTCACGTTCTCTCTCTGCCAACTTTTATGCAGGCTGGGTTTTGACGGAAGATCTTACAGGAATGGGTAAATACTGAATGTGGACATCATCATCCTAACCGCCACCAGTGCTTCACAAACCAAGGACAGAGTTGGAGGGAAAGCCTGCCCCCTGCTGTCCCTTGTATGAGAGCATCCCAGGCTCTGTTACCAACGTGCACCAGGACATGGCCCCTGCAGACGGTGGCCAGGGACCAAGACAGCCTGAAAACAGAACCCCATTGCTGGATCAATCACCACCAATACTTCTTAAAAAATGATCACTGCTAAACTCCAGCTCCAGAAACAAGGATGGAATTCATCCTGAAGGTTGTTAAGCTGGTGCCACCTACAGGCCAAACGCTGTTATAGCGGACGGGGGGCGGGGAGAGGGGAGGAGAGAAGTGTTTCATGTATCATATTTACATGCATGTAATTGTCGTTTACACACCCATGTACAAATGCTAAACATATAGTGTGCGATATATATAACATGCTTGCTATACATATATACATGTATAATGCATGCGTATGCAGATATACATTATAATGTGTCACTTGGAGTGAACATTACAAAGAATTCACTGTGGAAGTGACTCTATAATGCCCTTCATCTCATGTTTAAGTGGGAAGGAGCTGCACACTAGTGACACCTGATTAAAGCAAAGTCAGATCATCAGAGCAGCCACTGATAGGTGGTACTTGACTCTGTCCTTGGCCTAGGACAGTGAATCCCAGCTGTCTGTCCCAGCTGTCTGCCCCACCCGCCTACTGAGATCAGTTCTCCAAGAAGTAAGCGAAGGATCTGTCCCACTGTGGAGACATCTCAGAGGGCCAGAGCTAAGGATGCCGATGCACCCATACAGCACCTAACTTCTGTCCTCCTGGGAACATTAATTAGCCCAGAAAGGTCCAGGAGGGTCAGTGTTTTCCCAGGAGTCAAAGAATGCAGCCAACTCTAGCAGAGTCAAGAAAACCCAGGGAGGGAAAAGAGAAAGGAAGAAGAAAAAAAAAGGAGCCAGGCAGCAATGGCGCACGCCTTTGATCCCAGCACTCCCAGGTGGATCTCTGTGAGTTCGAGGCCAGCCTGGTCTACAGAGCGAGTTCCAGGACAGGCACCAAAACTACACAGAAAAATCCTGTCTCGAAAAAAAAAAAAAGGAAAAGAGGGAGGGGAGGGAAGAAAAAGAAAGAAAGGGAGGGAGGAGAGGAAGGGGAGAGAGAGAGACAGAGAGAGGATGAATCAGACACCACCACTCTGGGTTCTAATCAGCCTGAAGTCAGAGAAATCATGATTGCTGAATCCATGGATACCATCAGCGCGCCCATCACCCTCCACACCCCGAACCTGGGAAACTGAAAGCATTCTTGCATTCTTAGAAGCACACTGCCCTCTAGTGGCGCAAGGTAAATTCGCTCCATGACTACCTTGACAACCACTAAACTTCAACTCGACTTTTCCTGTCTCCCTAGGCAGAGCAGAGCCACGCCCACGTGGAGTTTTCAGCCAGGCGGGAAAACAAAAAAAGTACAAAGGGCCGGCACTGAAAGGGAAGGTGATTTAGCTACAAACGATGCTCGCATGTGAGTGCAGGCCAGGCCTCATAGAGAGTATTTGCACCTCCCACCCGGAGCACCTGCTGCACAGTAGACCAGAGGTGCTGGGAAAAGTGGATCTTGGGGTGGCAAGGGCATGAAAGGGTGCCTGCGACCTGTCACCTCATGGGTTCATCGAGCCCCTCAGGGATTGCCCTATCCGTAGTCTTTCCCAGTCTCTTCCGCTAATGCGTGCCACTTAAGGACACATATGCTTAGGGACTGGCCGCGACTGCCGACTGTCCAGGACTGTCCCACCTAGAGCTGGTTTCTGACACTGCGCCTGGACCCCGGGCCCTGAAGCCAAAGGGCTCAGCAACTGGAACCCATAGGCAGCATCGGTGCCCGGGGAGGGGACAAGCGCGCCCGAGCGCTCACCTTGACGATGAGCGGATTCTGAAACATGGAGTCACGCACGACCCCCAACCTCTCGTTCTCCATGCCCGGGCGGATATCGGCCACCGTCAGCGGCCGTCGGGGCGGCGGGCAGATCTGGCTGACCGTGCGGCGCACAGGCTGCTTCTTCTTCTTCCATCGCGTAAGGTCTTTCCGGGGCTTCCCCGGACCAGGCATCCTGGGGACCTTCGAGATCAGACCCTGAATGCAAGCCCACAGAGTTCTGCCCTGTCTGGGGACCCTCGTCCCATTCGTGTTGCTCCGGGCTGCACCACACGGACCCGGGGGTGCACCCCGTAGCGGCCAGGCAAGCTCTGAAGTGGGGCGCGCCCACCTGCGGAGCCCCCGCCGAGAGCCGAAACCTTGTCAGTTCTTTGGAGTGATTTGAGCACCTTGCTGCAGACTGAGAGAGGGAAGAATATTTAGACTACCCCTTGCGAAGAAATGGAATGGCCTGTCTCCTTGGCGACGGGACGCCAACGGCTCAGGAGCTTCCAGTTTTCGTTTTTGAAATTCTCGGCAACCCACAGAGACCTTTTAGAATTTTCTCAAGTCGACATAGGAAAACCCAAGAATCAAATCTAAGTTGTGTTAAAAGCGAAGAAGTTCTAGAGAGCCATTTATTCTTGGCTTCCTCTCTCTCTCTACCCATCCTCCTCTACTCACAGTTCCCTCCCAAGCTTGCTCCAAGCTTATACACACACACTCCCCCGGATATTGCACTAACGTGATGATGTTGCAATAGAAATAAGCATCCTAGGCTTGATGTCAATGCTAACTCACCGGTTGGTCGCAAGCCAGTTTCTCTGTTGGATTCTTCTTCCCCCATCTTTGTGAAGTGGGTGGAAAGAAGAAAAAAACAAATCTCTGAATTAGACCAATAGTGTCCAACTCTACAACCAAATTGGGGGAAGCTGAAAAGCTCAGGCTAGATTCACTCAGTAAGAACATCTGAAGACACTGGGCTGGAGAGATGGCTCAGTGGTTAAGAGAGTTCAATTCCCAGTAACCACATGGTGGCTCAGAACCATTTACAATCGGATCTGATGCCCTCTTCTGCCATGAAGATATACAGGAAGATAGAACACTCACACATATAAACAAAAATAAATAAATAAATAAATCTTTTTTAAAAATGGGGCCAGCCAAGCCTAACACAGCTGGTTTGATTCTCAGGGCCCATATGGTGGAAGGGCATGCCTTCAAGCTGTCCTCGGACTTCTCCACAAAGGCTGTGGCACATGTGTTCACACCCACACACACACCCACACACACACACACACACACACCCACACACACACACACACACACACACCAAATAAATAAATAAATAAATGCAAAGCATAAAAAGACCATCTGGAAATAGCATCTGAGACTGTTGTTAAAGGTCTACCAACCCTACAACCTGAAAAAAAATTTAAAGGGGGGTGGGTTTTTAAACTTTATTTATTTTATGTGCACTGGTGGTTTTGCCAGCATGTGTGTGAGGGTGTCAGGTCTTGTGACTTCTTCGGGGGACAAGACACAAACAAATTCTCCTTGTGGCAAGGCTCTGGAGAACCTGACCCATTTTGGCAAGGCCGATGGATAGTTCTCTCCATAACTCTAGGCATGACCCCAGGAGCATATGTGCTACCTACTCTCCTGGCTTTCTTTATAAAAGTCATATCACTGGCTGCCTCTAACTTCACTTTCTCAGAGCTATGGATAAAATAGCCACTACAAAAGGAATGCTCCCCCTGATGGTGCTCCTCTGGGTGATGTTGTTAAAAATACACACAGTGGACCTGATTCAGCCCCTAAAGCCTTTGATGTTTCAAGTGTGACCATGAATTCAGGATTCTTCAGAACAGGATGTTGCCTTTCCAATGCACCTTGTGACTAGCCTGAAAGAGTCACTGTAGTTCACGACAATATTACAAATTCATATAACTGTTCTGGAGAGAATAATTTTAACCAAAGGAGTCTAGAGGAAATGCTAATAAACTGATGATATCAGGAGTTAAAGGGAACAGTCTAGGAACAGGGAATGAAGCAGAGTCATAGAAACTCATAGTGCCGTCATTTCTAATAGCTGTGCCAATACTGTAGGAAGTCAAAAGGATGGAACATGAGAACAAGGGATAAGCAGTGCCAACTATTAAGAGTAAGTTTTCAAGTTGTGTTGCCTATAGGATAAATGAGAACGCCTGGAAGAGATAGACTAGTACAGAATGTAGAAAGAATTGATCCAGCTTCAGCTGGCGAGTTGATTGTAAGAACTCAGACCTTACCAGATGTAAATATTAACCACTAGAGACAAAACTATCTCTCACTCTGCATGATGTTGTAACCGCAAATGCTGCCAACTGGGCACACTGTCCTGCCTGTAGCTGTGCCCTGTTAGAAAAGTTTGTGGCTTGCAACATTGCTCATGCTTCTAACATTAGCTATGAATCATATAGGTAATGGTTACCAATGAGAAAGTTGGAGGATGGAAGGGGCAAGAGGTAAAGGAACAAACTGATAATTATTATAACTATTATTAGAAACATAAGAAAACAAATTTGATTGTAAAACTGTTCATAAAAACTATTGAAACTGGCCGGGTGGTGGTGGCGCACGCCTTTAATCCCAGCACTCGGGAGGCAGAGCCAGGTGGATCTCTGTGAGTTCAAGGCCAGCCTGGGCTAAAGAGTGAGTTCCAGGACAGGCTCCAGAGAAACCCTGTCTCACAAAACAAAAACAAAAACAAACAAAAAAAAAAACTATTGAAACTGTATAAATAAAAACGGCCCAGACTATCTGGGACCACTTGTTTGAAACAGGTGGTCACAGTTTCTTTGTCGCACCAACTTCACATACCCATCCCAGGTCATTGGACCCATCTGGAATTAGGCTTCCAGTAGTCTTGGAGTTACAGACAGTTGTGAGCTGCCATGTGGATGCTGGGAATTGAACCTAGATCCTCTAAATGAGCAGCCAGTACTCTTAACCACTGAGCCATCTCTTCAGCCCCCCAAACTAAAATTTTTTTGTTTAAAAAGAATGCAAGCCTGCTGCAAAGTTAAAATTGGGGCGGGGGGAGCTGGAGAAATAGCTCAGTGGTCAGGAGGACTTGCTGTTCTTGTCGAGGACCTGGATTCGATTCCAAGTACTCACTTAGTGATCCAAAACAGTCAGTAATTCCGGTTCCACGGGATCTGACGCCATCTTCTGGCCTCCTCAGGTACCAAGCACATATGTGGCATACAAACACATATGAAGAAAAACACTCATACCCATATTTTTTTTTTAATGAAATACAGTGAGTTCAATAAAAACCTGAGGACCTCACCTGGATTCACAATCCTTTCTCTCTGTCGCATTGCCATGCATTTGAGTAGGCTCATATACATGCACATGAACACACAAGTGCACACACACACACTTCTGAGTTGCTCGAAATTACCTCAAACAATAATATATTATATATTAGTTCCTGTTCTGCTGATGTGCTAAAACACCATGACAAGGAGCGACTTAGAGAAGGAAGAGTTTATTTGTGCTTATGGTTCTAAAGGGATAAGGGTCCATTGTAGCAGGCAAGCATGGTGGTTGGAAGAAGCTGCTGAGACCTCACATCCTGAACGCCAATCATGCAGGGGGGGGGAGGAGGGAGGGAGAGAGAGAGAGAGAGAGAGAGAGAGAGAGAGAGAGAGAGAGAGAGAAAGCACTGGGAATGGCAGGAGGTTTTGAAACCCCAGAGACCAACTTCCTCCACTAAGGCCACACCTCCTAGACCCCCCCCCCCCCAAAGAGTGCCACCGACTGGAAACCAAGTGTTCAAATAGATGTGGCTAATCTCATTCAAACCACTGTAGATCCTAAAGACCTCATCCTGTATCAAGGGCATTTTCTTTTGGGGATATTTTTAAAAACTTATTTCACAATTTCATACATACATACATACACTACACTTTGATCATATTATCCTCCTGTCCCTCTCTCCATCTGCTGAACCCTCTCTCCTTGCCAACAAAACCCTCTTCTGCTCTCATGTCTTATTTTGTGCCCCACTGAATTTAATTAGGGTTGCTTGCCTGAGCACAGGTGAGGACTGATTAAGAGCCGTTGTCCATGGCTGTACAGTAAGGCATAGCCCCCCCCCCCCCCCCCACACACACACACACAACCATTAACTGTCAAGGGCACTTTCACACATGACCACGTCCTTATAATGTCTACGGATAATGAGAGGGTGTGGTGGCTATTCTTGGTTGTCAACTTGACTATGTCTGGAATGAACTACAATCCAGAAGTGGAGGGCACACTTGTGATTGGGATCTTGAGGCTGGAAGACACACCTTTAATCTGGGCCACACCTTCTCCCGGAAGCCTACGTAAGGGCAATGGGAGAGAGAAGGGTTCGCTCTTGGCCTGCTTGTCCTCGCCTTGCTAGCACATCCATCCTTCGCTGGCATTGGAACCCACCTCTTCAGGATTCCAGCATATACAGAAGACCAGCTGAGACACCCATCCTTGTGGGGCTAAGCAACTACTAGATTCTTGGACTTTCCATTCACAATTAGCCATTGTTGGACTGCAGCCTGTAAGTCATCACAATACATTTTTTTACAGAAAGAAAGAGAGATTCTTTTTTTAATTTATTTATTTTATGTGTATTGGTGGTTTTGCCTGCATGTTTCTGTGTGAGGGTGTCAGATCTTGGAGTCACAGACAGTTGTTAGCTGCCTTGTGGGTGCTGGGAATTGAACCCAGGTCCTCTGGAAGAGCTGCTGGTGCTCTTAATCACTGAGCCATCTCTCCAGCCCCGAGAGAGATTCTTTCCATAAGTTCTGTGACACTAGAGAACCCTGACTAATAGAGGGTACCACTATGTAGCCCTAGCTGACCTGGAACTCAGAGAGATCCAGTTGTCTCTGGCGCCTGATTGTTGGAATTAAAGGCATTTGTAATGATGCTCAGCATGTCCACAGCTCATTTACAAAAACTTTTTAAAACTTTATGTGTGTGAGTGCTTTGCCTGCATATGTGTTTATCATGGACTGGGAGAGACCAGCTCCCACAATCTACTCAGGGTAATGAAAGGAATGCCCCAGAGTAGCAAGGGTAGGAAACTTTTTTTTATCTAAGGGTAATTAGGAACAAGTTTTACTCTATCTATCACATTTTACTCAGTCATTCTTTCACCCATTCACTTCCTCACACTTCTCTCATGCTTCTTCTTCATCTCTCACCCAGCACACACCACACACACACACACACACACACACACACACACACACACACACACCACTTCACTCACATTCTGCAGCAGCTCTTGTCATGAAGTGTCGAAGCACAGGTGTGTAGGTTCACACGGATCTGTGGAAAGAAGACTCAGAGACACCTTAAGAGTGAATTTAGCCTTCGAG